AGTTCCGGTAATAATTTCAGCATCAAGAACATGCTGATTAACATGTCTAATAACTAATCTGGTACCATTACAAAGTCTATCAACAGGACTTATATTTCTTAAAAGAATAACTGAAGCTCCAATTTTTAGTACCAGCTTATAAGGAGGAGTTCCACTTGGAGTAAGTGTATTTAAAAATTCAACAGAAAAATGATTTTGAATTTCCTGATTTTGATTTACAATAGAATTAGCAGATAAAAATTCGGTACCTACACCTGGTAAAGTATTAAGAATTTTTTCATTAATATCATCTACATCATCATTTTTTGGTGTAAGAATTGCTTGGTTACTAATATAGGCTGAATATTCTTTAGTTGGAATCGTATTAATATCTTTAATAGTTCAGATATTAATGATTTAACCTTATCATCATATAAAACCATAGTATTATCTAATTTAACAATATCATCACCAATTGTATCATAAGTAGGCTCGGTATCATTACCAATTCTTAATAAATAGTTAGCAAAATTAATTGCTTCCTTATTATCTCCTTAAACTCTCATATTTTGTATTAATGCTAATTTATCAATTTTATCCCATAAATAAGATTTTTTAAGGGAAGCATTAATAATTTGAGCACGATTTCCTCGAACTACTACAGGTAAAATTTGCCTAAAGTCACCACCAAATATAACTACTTTGTCTCCAAATAATTTATTATTTTTCATAATGTCCTGAAGAGTTTTATCAAGTTTTTCAAAAGCTAATTTGTTTGTCATGAGTGCTTTATCCCAAATAATTAATTTTGTATTTCTGATTAAATAAGCCAAATTAGATTGAGTACTAATATATAAGGTAGATGCTTCGGTTAAATTTAGAGGAATCTTGAATCTTGAATGAGTGGTTGTTCCTCCATCTAATAATAAAGCAGCAATTCCAGATAAGCAACTGCAAGAGCAATACCAAAATCTTTTCTTACTATTGCCAAAATTAAATTAAACAAAAAAGTTTTTCCACTACCTCCAGGACTATCAACAAAAAATAATTTTTTATCAATTTCATTATTGAGTGCTTGTAAGATTCTTTCATAGATATATCTTTGTTTAAAATTTAACAAAGCTATCTTTGCTAAAGTTTTATCTAATTCATTATCTAAATAATTTTCGTCATTAAAAAGTTGATATTGCACATTAATTTCTTCAGTAGTTAAACCTGCTAAACTATAATCAAGTTTATCAAAATTAAAATCAATCAAGTTTTTTTCAAAATGAATTAGATATTTTTCAATATCTATTAAAGCCTTTGCTTTAAATAATTTAACTTGTTCAGAAGTTAATTCTGTAGAATCAGTTCCTATAGCTCTACAATAATCTTCAATTAATAAATGATAATTATTATCAAATAAATCTTGTGGTTTCAACTCTGTTGGAATACAAAATAATAATATAGAGGCAAATAATTGTCTTAATTGAGATGGCATTCCATATAATGCAGCCTCTTTTAAACATTTATCAAATTCATTATTTTCTTCATCTAAAAGGCCAAGTGCATGTACAGCATCTTCAAATTTTTCATAAAGATGACCATTAATTGTATATAAATTTTCAAAAGAGATAGCACCGGGTATTTGAGTTAATAAAATTCTCAAACAAAATCTTTCTCTATCTCTTGGGCTGCATATATATAATCATGATATTACTTTTTTGCCACCTAGTTTTCGTTCGATCCAGTTTCCTTTTACCTATTTAAAGACCTTTGGAAAATCTATATATTTTAGATTCGTAATAACTAAATTCTCCTGATTATCTTTACAGATATCAAAATAATGGGTTAACTTAGTATTGGTCAACTCTGCTAAAATCTCTGTTATATTAACACCTTGTTTAAAAATTACTAATTGTTGGTCAGGCAAATGAACCGGTAGTCTTTCAACTTTATAAGATCTTTCTTGTAAAGAAAATTTAAATAATCTCCAACATGCTTCACTTGCAGAAACATATCT